TTTTTTTTTTTTTTTTTTTGAGACAGAGTCTTGCTCTGTCTCCAGGCTGGGGCGCAGTGGTGCAATCTCTGCTCGCTGCGGCCTCCACCTCCCGGGTTCAATCAGTTCTCATACCTCATCCTCCCAAGTAGCTGGGATTACAGGTGTGCATCACCACACCCAGCTCATTTTTGTATTTTTAGTAGAGACGGGGTTTCACCATGTTGGCCAGGCTGGTCTCAAACTCCTGACCTCCAGTAATCTACCCGCCTCAGCCTTCCAAAGTGCTAGGATTACAGATGTAAGCCACCACACCTGACCTATAACCACTTTTTAATACAATGAATCAAAATATTTGTACTTTAACATATTTTAAAAGTGTTGGAATTCAGATGAATGGACTGAGTCTAGTTTTCTGCAAATTCGGAATGTATCCTGTTGTCATCTGAGGTCTTCCGGTACTTCAAAGTTGATATAGTATTGCCTGGAACTTCCATTCTACACCTGGGGAGTTATGAAGCACTTCCCAAGATTCTTGCAAATTCTTGGAAGGCTTGTGGCTCTGAGTTCTCATTTCTTTGAAAGAATTCAGTGGATGGATCATCCTGCCATTCCCCGCTTGCTTTTCCTGCTCTCTGCTGCACCTTCAGACACAGCTCATCTCCTAACTCAATCTTCAACCCCTGACTCAACACAGACACCCCAAAGTCACCATCCCCCCAGTGTGTGTGTGCCTAGCACACCCCTTGGTGAAGATAGAGGAGAGATTAGAACAAGTAATACGAACAATTTGGAATTGCATAGGAAACACAACAGGTAACTGAAGGACTTCTGATCACCACCTCATTGGGAAATTTCGTGACTGTTCTCATATGGCATCCCCCTGTGCCTGTACCCTCACTTGTCTTGGCTTGTCATCTCCTTCCAGATGGCTCTAAATTGTTCATACCAAGCAATACAGAGCAATTCTGCTTTTTTTTTTTTTTTTTTTTTTTTTTTGAGATGGGACCTGGCTCTGTCACCCAGGCTGGAGTGTAGTGGCACGATCTTGGCTCACTGTAGCCTCTGTCTCCCAGGCTCAAACGATTCTCCTGCCTCAGCCTCTCGAGTACCTGGGATTACAGGCAGGTGCCACCATGCCTGGCTAATTTTTGTATTTTTAATAGAGATGGGGTTTCACCATGTTGGCCAGGATGGTCTCAAACTCCTGACATCAAGTGATCCACCCACCTCAGCCTCCCAAAGTGCTGGGATTACAGGCGTGAGCCACTGTGCCCATCCCAGTTCTGCTCTCTTGAATCCCTACTCCCAAAATCAATTCCGGATCTTCCTTTTGCATCTCAAAAACAAACCAAAAAAGCCTTCAATTTCACTGGACCTACATTTCTAGAAGCTGTTATTGTTAATAGCAATTAATTCCCCTCTTTTACATCTGCATAAACTTTAATTCCTTTGAAAAGCTATTTCTGAGGTAAAAGGCTGTGTCTGTGTCTGCACCTATATCCCTGTGTCTGGTAAAAGGGCAGCTGCTCATCTGGATTGAAGTGCGTGGTCTTTGACTATGGGGTGGGTTACACTCACGTGTACCCAGTATTCTGCAGTGGTTCTCAATTCCCGGCTTCTTAACTCTTAAACTGTTCAGCCTGACATTCAAGGGGTTCCCTCCCCCCACTGTCCCATGTTTTGAGCCTCATTTTTCAAAGCTTGTCTCTCATGTGGTCTTGTCTGTACCTAGTCTGTGTTTTGCAAAATGTGGTCGAGCATAAAAACCATAACCGACTGACTTATGGGTCCCTGAATGATGGGTCTGAGGTGTTTCTCAGGCGTTTTTATTTGTTTATTTTTATTTATTTGTTTGTTTATTTATGAGACTGAGTCTCACTCTGTCGCCCAGGCTGCAGTGCAGTGGCGTGATCTTGGCTCATTGCAACCTCCACCTCCCCGGTTCAAGCGACTCTCTTACCTCAGCCTCCCAAGTTCCTGGGATTACAGGAACCCACCAGCACACCTGACTAATTATTGTATTTTTAGTAGAGACGGGGTTTCACCATGTTAGCCCGGCTGGTCTCGAACTCCTGACCTCAGTTGATCCTGCCTGGGCCTCCCAAAGTGCTGGGATTACAGGTGTGAGCCACCACGCCCGGCCTCAGGCACTTTTAGACTTGGTAAAGACAGTGAGGTGATAGTTTCTTTCCTTGCTCCCTTAGTACCTCCCAGGATGTAATAGATTTTCTATACCATTACCAACTATTTCCTCAGATTCATTTATTCCACAAATTCATTCATTCAGCATTCATCTTCTGCTGTGGGCTAAGACCTGGGGCTACAGCAGCAAACAAACCAGGGGTCTTGCCCTCTTAAAGTTTCTTTCTAGTCAGGGTAGGGGGTGGCTGAAGTTTTTAGGGCCAAAGGTATGTTGTTGACACCAAAACAACTGCATTCTAGTTTCAAAACTAGAGCAAACTCATGTTAGGGTTGAATGCTGTAACAGAAACAAGGAGGCTTTTTACCTACTGACATTTCCTTCATCTCCGCAGCCAGTCACCCATTCTCTCCACCACACACCTGTTCTCTGTCACAGTGATTTGAGTGTGGGTGCTATGAGACCTTCCTTCTTCAGAACAATTCTGTCTGCAATGGAAATAGTGTTCTTAGACTTTAAAATAACAGCACTGAACTTGAATTTCCTCTGCACTCTTTGTGAGGTGACCAGACCTGCTTGCATATATGTGATGACAACAAAAAGTCAAAAGACAAAGTATTTCAGCATGTCTCATTTGAAATATAAATTTAAAAATATAGGCCGAGCATGGTGGCTCGCACCTGTAATCCTAGCATTTTGGGAGGCTGAGGCGGGTGAGGTAAGAGCTCGAGACCAGCCTAGCCAACGTGGAGAAACCCCGTCTCTACTAAAAATATAAAATTAGCTGGGCATGGTGGTGCATGCCTGTAACTCCAGCTACTTGGGAGGCTGAGGCAAGAGAATCGCTTGAACCTGGGAGGCAGAGGTTGCAGTGAGCCAAAATCACACCATTGCACTCTAGCCTAGGCAACAAAAGGGAAACTCCATCTCAAAATAAAAGGTAAATGATGCCTCACCATTCATTATATGAGTAAAATGCCACCCCAAATGTTATGAATAGACTTTCCAGTTTTAACAGTTCTTGGCTATACTATGTTCATTTTATGATGGAAAGCTCTGGCAAAGACAGCAAGAAAAATTAGAGTTAATACAATAACAGGCGGGACCCAGTGGCTCATGCCTATGGTCTCAGCACTTTGGGAGGCCGAGGCAAGGGGATGTCTTGAGCTCAAGAGTTTGAGACCAGCCTGGCCAACGTAGTGAAACCCTACCTCTTCTTTAAAAAAAAAATTAAAAAATTGACTGGATGTAATGGTATATGCCTGTAGTCTTAGCTACTTGGGAGGCTGAGGTGAGAGGATTGCTTGAGCCAAGGAGGTGGAGATTGCAGTGAGTCGAGATTGCCCCACTGCACTCCAGGCTGGGTGACAGAGGGAAACTCCATCTAAAAAAAATAAAATAAAAACAGTTAATACAATAACAATGAAGGTCATTTACTGAGAAACTCAAGCAAAGAGATTCACTTCCCTACAAGCATTCAGCATCTCAATAAGTGAATAAACACACTCGCGCGCATACACACAATATTATCAGAAGCAGTTTATTCTAAACACTATTTTTCTAGGTTATTCACTTAACTCACCCTCTGAGATTTATAGTTCAACACTACCAATTCAGAGTGGAAAGAAGAAAAGGCCTTTTATCTAATCCAATTCCTTGGGAAAAAATACTTGGGCAATATTAAGAATCTTCAATTATCTAATTTAATAAAAGGGATGATTTATATTCTGTAGTTAGTAACGTGATACTGATTATTTCTAATCCCTTGGAAGAGATCTGACACTATGCTTTTGGTCCTGTGTAGCATGAAATCATCATGTATATTTTACCAAAAGAAGTAACAAGAATAATGGCCTCTGCAGTCTGAAATCATTTTATATGAACACACTGCAACATGGTTTTACCCTGGGGCAGAGAAGTAGGGATTTTTCTCTACTTCAAAAGAATGAAAAATTATCATCACTCTATCCAGAACCATTATAGACTTCAGAGACTTTGGCATGAAATATTCAGAAAGTTTATTTTAGAATTCAATATTTTAAAAGCCTGCTTTAAAACTATTACAGTGATTAGTGGCTCTCTTGCTTGGGCCAGTCTTTGCGTTAAAAAGTCCTATGTCATGGTTGATATGAATTTGATGTTTGAACAAAATATAATGGGCATCACCCGCAGAAGCTACGTGTAAGGCCTTGTTTTAGAATGCCCCCCAAAGAGGAGTTGAGACCACTACTCATCAGTTATGCCTTCAAACACACTTTTTTTTAAAAAATTGAGATGGAGTCTGTCTGTGTTGCTCAGGCTGTAGTGCAGTGGTGTGATCTTGGCCAACTGCAACCTCTGCCTCCCGATTTAAGCGATTCTCCTGCTTCAGCCTCCCAAGTAGCTGGGATTACAGGCGCCCACCATCAAACCTGGCTAATTTTTGTATTTTTAGTGGAGGCAGGGTTTCCCCATGTTGGCCAGGCTGTCTGGAACTCCTTACCCCAGGTGATCCGCCCACCTCAGCCTCCCAAAATGCTGTGATTGCGGGAGTGAGCCGCCATATCTGGCCTGCATGTGCTTTTGATATATCACAGAAAGATACATGTAGGATAACTAGAAAGAGCCATTTCTTTTTTTCTTATATAATCTGTGCATTTGGCTTCATCCCTTTAAATATGCAGAATATATTATTTCTGTAGGTTTTAATAAATGCCCTTTCTTTCCTGCAAAACTTTATTATCAATGAAAAAAAGTAGGCATCAATCTCAGCTTTCAAGTAGGTAAAATAGGTTCCTCTCTCACACAGACAAACAAAGAAATAAAGATCCTAATGTGCTCTTAATACATAGGTGTCAACAAGAATAATGTGTAAATGACTTTTTGTTTCATTTTCCAGGGAAGTAGATCGAGACTCAGATGGTCACGTCAGCTTTAGAGACTTTGAATATGCCATCAACTATGGACAGAAGGAAGCCTAACTATTGTGAGCTACTTTTGGCAACTCTGGGGAGATCAATAGATTATAATGTCAGCAGACTCTGCTCTACTCTATTAATGATGTCATGCTACAGACTAATTAAACTTTAAAAAAAATTTTAATTTTGTGAGTACATAGTAGGTGTATATCTATACACACACACACATATATGGGTTACAGGAGATACTTTGGCACAGGCATGCAATAAGTAATTGACTAAACTTTTAATCATAATTTTTGGATGCTCATGATGGACTTGCATCTCAGAACCCTGGAGGAGGTCGCTGCCAGGGTCATCTTCTGTGTGTCCAGCAGCCCTGATCAGGTGTCTGTTGCAAGAGCTGGGGCTGGCGCTGGCACTGGTGGTCCCCTTCCTCTTCACTCTTCTCTCCCGCAGCCACTCCACACTGCAGGCCAGGGTGCCCCATTCACTTACCTCATTGTCCTCACCATCCCACCTTGGGTCCCTGAATCTCATCAGCTCCTAATATCTGCTGCCTTTCCTGCCAATGGTGCCAGTTTCCTTCATTGGCTCAACATTGGTTGAACAAATAATAGCACCTACACATACTGAGTACTTACTATGTTCCAAGCAGTGAGCCAGGCCTTGGGAAGCACAGGCTAAAGACTTCTCTAAAATAGGCTCATGCCTATAATCTCAGCGCTTTGGGAGGCCAAAGCAGGAGGATCACTTGAGCCTAGGAATTGGAGACCAGCCTGGGCAACATACCGAGATCCCATCCCTACCAAAAAAATAATAATAAGTTATCTGGATTTAGTGGTGTACACCTGTAGTCCCAGCTACTTGGGAGGCTGAGATGGGAAGATCACGTGAGCTGAGGGGTTTGAAGCTTCAGTGAGCCATGATTGCACTATTGCACTCCAGCCTGGGTGACAGAGCAAGACCGTGTCTCTAAAAAAACCTTTCAATTAAAAAATAATAAAGACTTCTCTAAGATAATGTCCCTGAGTCCAAATCATCACTGTCAAGTGGCCCCAGGGCACTGTGTGTGCAAGACAAAGAAATGGATGGGGGTAACACAAGCAAGCCCTCTCGGGCTGTATACAGAAGAACAGAGTGGTAAGGGTACCGGGGCAAGAGACGTGTTTGCAGAACCCTTTAGGATGGCCTGGGCTTGGGAGTCTCACTGCAGAGAAGCCAGCCTTGAGCTGCGCGGCTGCCCTCTACTGCACACCCCCTGGTTCCCAGCAGTCGTGTCCTGCATTCAGAGCCTCAGCCATGTGTATTCACATTCCCCGTGCCTTGCCTGTCCTGCTGGGCTCCAGTAACTGCTATACTGGAGCAATAAATAACAGTGCTGGACATTCAGCATTTACTTAAGGTAATTCCAAAATACTGGTATCAATACCCTTATTTATAAGTGTTCAGAATGCAAAACACGAACACGAGTCAAACAACTTTTAATATAATTCACTTTTTAAGTGTTAAAATTTAAAAGTCAAGTAAAATTGTAAATTTGTAATATACAAATATTAAGCATCATTATCAAATTATCAGAGATAACCTCAATAAAAATAAATGTTTGTGAGGTTTCTTTTTTTTTTTTGAGACAGAGTCTCACTCTGTCACCCAGGCTAGAGTACAGTGGTGTGATCTCGGCTCACTGCAACCTCCGCCTCCTGGGTTCAAGTGATTCTCCTGCCTTAGCATCCCAAGTAGCTGGGATTACAGGCACACACTACCACGCCCGCCTAATTTTTGTATTTTTAGTAGAGATGGGGTGTCACCATGTTGGCCAGGCTGGTCTTGAACTCCTGACCTCAAGTGATTCATCCACCTTGGCCCCCCAAAGTGCTGGGATTACAGGCATAAGCCACCACATCTGGCCAATAAAAATAAAGTTTTACACTGTCAAATAAGACGAGCCTAAGAAGATGTGACAACGAAATATCATTTGGTATCCTGGATGAGATCATGGAATAAAAAATAGACATTAAGTAGAAACAAATTAAGTATGGACTTTAATAATAATGTATCACTATTGGTTCATTAATTGTGATAAATATATCATACTCAAATATAATGTTGGTAGTAGAGGAAATTGGTTGAGGTATATAGGAACCCTGTACTATTTTCACAATTTTTCTATAAATCTAAAACTGTTCCAAAATTAAAAGTTTGTTTAAAAACTAAAGTCTTATTCAAAACCTAAAAAACTAAACTTTATCTAAAATGAAGCAAACATTGAAAATCAAGTAAAAATACAATCTTATTTTAAAAACAAAGTGGATCGATGGTATCACTGAGTAGCTTTTGTGTTTATGTACGAATTGTTCCAGTCGATGAAAAGCCCTTTCTGATTTGGGGTAGAGTTTTGTTCAGCAAGCATTTTCATCATAAGATGAATAATTGGGTCATTGATCCTGATCTTGGAGCATAAATGATGCATACTTCAGATTTTTAAAAATATCAAAATTAGGGTAATACATGAGCAAAGCAGCATTATTCAGTAATTTCCAGAATGCCAAACCCTCTTATTGCAGTCACTGTTTAGACCTCATTTCTCCCGGGAAACATGACAAGGGAAAGGGAGGGACCATTTCCTACAGCTGATGTGGCAGCCAAGAGGCCAAGCTGGGGATAGCTGTTGGGCAACACGCTTGACCCTCAACTAGTCAAGGCTCTTGTTTGTCTCAGTGACAAAACCACTCAAACTAGCTTAGACGTCAAGAGAATGTACTGGAAAACACTGGGCTATCTGAGAGAACTAACATAGAGATAGCAGTGGTGCAGTGGGTTTCCAGGATAACCAATAATACCAGCACCCTCAGACTCTGTCTGTCTCCCGTAGTCACGGACAGTCTCATAGCATCCTGAAAAGGAATCGGCTCATGATCCATCCAGTTCCAAGTGTAGAGACCCCACATAGAGATTCTGGTAGGCACACTGGAGCAGTCAACTCTGGTTAACCCAGTGTGTATGGACATGGCCACGGGGACTCACCCAGGTGTACCCAGGGCTGTTCGCAGAGAGAGGAAGTTTATAAGATCTGGGCAGCCATCCCATTTTCTTTCTTAGAAGAAAACCGTACGCCTGTCTAGGTGTAAACTATAGGAGGCAGAGTGCTCCTCAGATTTGCTGCTTAGGAGGATCCAGGCTCTGAGCAGTTAGAGAGAGAATGAGAAGCCATTCATGTCACCTTCTCCTTCTTTTCACTTGCTGTGGGCCCAATCCAAATCCTCATCCCATGAGCTTTTTCCCCAGCTTCTCACTTCCAGGTCCTAGTCCTTGTCCTTGTCCCCAAACCACATGCTACTGTCTGTGCAGAGTGATTTTGTTGATCTGATTTCAGTCGAGTGGCCCAAGGGGGGGCATCTATCGACCCACTCAATCTCATCCCTTGGAGAACATCCAGCGTGAGCATGAGCGAGAGACAGCAGTGCTCCTCTGAGGGGCTAAGTGTGTCTGACTCAGGACTGAGTGGCAGACACGTTTCCTACCGCATGGCCTGGAAACCCAGGGCAGCTAGCTGGCATTGAGAGCAGAGAAAAAAGAGAAAGGCACCAAGAGGGGAACAAGAAAGGAGACAAGAAGCCCAGTGGAGCTTGACTTCTGGTTAAAGCTTGTGTACAAGGCCCAGTCATCATCCTCTGGGTCCTGTGAGGTAACCCCGTATCCTCCCAATAAATCTTTCTGCTCAAGCCAGCTGGAGTTGCTTTCTGTTATTTGAAACCAAGAGAACTCTGTTGTAAGCACTGAGCCAAGGACAGTCTTGGGCAACATTAACATTTACTAGGACAGCGGAGAAAAGTCTTCTAACGAGACTAAGAAGAAGCAGTTGAAGGTGGAAGCAGAAGCTGTTGCCCATTCTCTCTCTGATTCCCCTGCCCCCACTTGCCCTCTCCCTGTTACCCAGCTCCGTCTTCCCTGTGGCAGCAGCTCTCAAAGAGGTCACCAGTGAGGTGCTAATGAATGGCCAAACCCACCAGCCCTTCTCAAGCCTCATCGCGTTTGTCCTTTCTCCTGATTCTGCCCTGACAGCTGCACCTTTGAAATCCTTCCCTTCTAGTTTCCGTGACATGGGTCTCTCCTGGTATTTCTGTGCCCATTTTTTTTTTTCCTTCTGTCTTTTCCTGCTTCCTCTCCTACAACCATCCCGTAAGTATTAGCATTTTCCAAGGCCCTGTATTTGGCCGATCTTCTTGATCCACACATTCTCCGAGGATGAGTTCATCACCACCAAGATTTCAGCTATCATCTTTATGGGTATGACTCTACAAACAAATCTTTATCTTGACCTCGTCTCAACTCCAGACCTGTGTTTTCATTTGCCTATCGGACTGCCATGCACACTCATTGAATTAAAATCAGACTCATTGTTCCCTCATTTTCAAAACCGTTTTCCCATTCTGTGTTTCTATTTCTTTTTCCTGGCCACTGCCCGGTCCCCCACCCAGAGCTGTCATCCAAGCCAGCTGCCACGGAATTCTTTTCAAGTCTCCCCCATCTTCCTTAGCTCCTCATCCACACACTTGCCGAATCCTTTTGAGCCTGGCTCAGTAAGCCCTTCACAGCATTCTCTTCCATTCCCTCCTGATCATTCTGCCCTTGTCCTTATTCCCGCTTCAATCCTTCTACCCAGCCATTTGTTCTTCTACTCATTCCTATAAAGATGAGTAAAAGATGTGTGAGCAGGAAGCAAACCCTACTGTCAACAAATTTTAGTCTAGCATATCAGTTATCTTCCCAAAGCACAGACAAGATTACTTTGTCTCTGCTCACAAGCTTTCAGTGCCCATCTTTTCTATTGGATAATAGCTAAACCTGTAATATGCCATTTAAAGCCCTCCATAATTGGGTAGCAATTTATATTTCAGTCCCATTGTTCACAACTACCTCTACCATACCACCCCACAGCTAGGTAAACTCACACGCACAGTCCCTTCTCCTAAATACACCAAAAACAAGACATCTTTGCCCAAAATAGAAGAGTAACAAATACTCTTGGAATTAATATCTGACAAGATAATAGGAAAATGCAACCATAATAAAAGTCATTTTGA